TAATAATTAAGTCACCTAGTCTACATCTAATTAGCTTGCTAATCATCAGTACTTTGTGAAATGTTGTGTCTATGGCTTTCCCACAATCTATTGAGGAAATTATCCAATCAAAACATGAGTTAAGGTTAGTTTGGCAAGACCTGGTCTCAACAAATCCATGCTGGTTTATGATAATTAACATATTTTTCAAAGTGCTTACAGATTAATTTCCTTACAATCTACTTTAGATTCTATCTAGGTATCTTCCGGGGTTATATTTTTAGCTGTACAAACTAATCTGAATAATATTAATGCCTTCAATAAAGATAACTAACTCTCAACCTATATTAGGAGACTTAAATTCCAGTTATACATACTAACAATGTAGACATATTGTGGAAGTAATGGCCTTACAAGAGACTGAATATTAAAAGCATTTCACTAATATAGCATCAGGCTGAACTATAAAAATAGAAACCTTTATATGTTTCTAAAATTAAATTATTAGCTATTATTCATCTAATTTTCACAATATAAACACTTGTCTTTACATATTGCTAAAGTAAAATTGCTCATACTTTTTGTATCATTTTTCAAAATGGCACGAGAAGTAATTCAAATCTGAATTCAATTAAAAACCTTAACATTTAATATGCCCCATCTCTAATGAGGAAAAACACAAGTTATTACACTGGTGTCAATGCAGTTATCTTCCATTTTTGACAACTGAATCAAAATAGAAATTCTTAAATGAAATGCTCTTCACTATTGTGATAGAATACAAAAAGAAGCTTAGGACTAAAGTTTTCCCATCTTCCCAGAAAGAAATCATAACGAATATAAATTATTCACTTGATTAATTATCTTACTAAAAAAACACTAAAACCTCTGAACGTTAGGTCACAATACTTCAGTTCTTTCTTCCACATTCCCGAACATTTTGTGATACAGAAGGAATGAGATCACAATATTTTTTTTAATCACTTGCATACAATTGCCACTATGAGTTTATGGTTGGATATTAGTTCAAATATGAAAGTCCCACACTCATCAATGTTATTATAACTTCCAGTCATGTCTCTCAAAGATTTGGAAATAGAACAGGGGATATCTATTTTGGACTTTTGTCCCTTTTGATATGTGGCTAGTAAATGTTTGAAATAAGTTCCAAAAGACCCAGGAACTGGACAGCTGACCAATCCATATTCTTGTATCTGCCAAGTCTTTCTTAGCCAGCACTGGATTCTAAAGTTATTATTTTTTGTATTTAATCTTCTCAAGATATAATTTGTATTAATAGTCTGTTCCAATTCTGTGGATATAAGCTACTCCATTTTAACTGGGGGAAAAACATAGTCACTAACAATATGTTTCAGTTCAGTGGGAAAAATGGCAGAATTATACTTTCAACTATTCAAATAACAAACCACCCAGCTGTAAAACTAAATAATTTCCATATCCCTGTAGAAATTTTATAAAGGGAAGAGTAGAAGTACCTTAGCAACCCTTGAATAATAATTAATAAGTTATAAGTATCAAATGTATCCAGCTGAACCACTGTTATTTTTATCATCTCATTTTCAATGACATCATGCATAATTATCTATTGACAATCTCATATATGTATTTTAAAAACACCATCAGAACCAATGAACCCAAATCTGTTCCTCCTGATACTTAGGTTTTATTTTACTCCCCTCAAAGGCCAAAATCAAAATCTTTTAGTGTTCTGTAATTAAAATAAGGAAAATATAAAAAGAAAAAAGGATAAATAAGATTTTAGAGAAATACAAAAGACTGCTGAGATTTTGGTGTGTAACTTTTACAAACTCAGTATTGTGATAGGTTTGGAAGGACTATTTAAGTCATCACATTTCCCTTATTATAGAAAGATCAAGTCAGTTAATCATTGCAATCTATCAGCGAAATATCCAAGATATCCACTCATTTTTACATGTGGGGATGATACTAAACAATTATGAGGAATATTTTTACCTCAATTTTCAAAATCAAAAATAACTGCCAATTGCTAATGAGTAATTATTACCAGAAAGATCAGGATAAACTTGTAGGAGGGTGGCAAGGGAGACAGTTTGAAACTGAAGAGAACATGAAATTGTCCCAACAATGTAAACCAATTTCAAACATGCTTCTGCCACATTTATACAGACCAGGTTTATCTTAGAAACAAGTTACTAACCATTTCCAAACTGAAGAAACAATAACAAAAATGACAACCAAAGGCTACTAAAGATTTGTATCCATTTTAGAAAAATCTTCCCAACCAAATGAGTCTTGCAATTAGCTAAACAATGTATTTAAAAGCAGGATCCAAGTATCTAAGCATATAGGAGAGTTACGCTTATATTCCATGATTGGTCTCTAGCAACTGACATTTAAAGTACCGTATTTTCCGGCGTATAAGACGACTTTCTAAACCCTGAAAATCTTCTCAAAAGTCGGGGGTCGTCTTATACGCCCAGTCGTCTTATACGCCGGAAAATACAGGTATTCTATTTTATTCCTTTACACATGTGGTTTGGCATATTACTCATCAAGTTTTCTCCCCCCCCCCTCGCTCAAACTCTATATTTTAACTGGAAAAGTTGGGGGTCGTCTTATACGCCCAGTTGTCTTATACGCCGGAAAATACGGTATCACCGTCACTCTCGTGAAGACATCATTGGTTCACCATACCTTACCTCACCCCTTATTGATTTTACATTTACATAGTTCACTTCCATTCTAGCCCAATGCCTGAGTGAAGAGCTGGGTCTGTGGGTGAGAGGTGGAAGCCCTCTGAATCTTAGGGGGAAGGCTGTTCCAAAGGTTTGGGTCAACACTGGGAAGGTGCATCTCCAAAGCTCCATCAGGTGGCAAAATTTAAGGGAACGTGAATCGCAGCCAATATATCTGAGCACATAAACTTAGGGAGATGCAGTCCTGCAAATAACCAGGATTGATAGCATATAGGGCTTTAAAGGTAGTAACCAGCACCTTGAATTGCATCCAGAAAGCAACTGGAAGCCAGTGCAGTTCTCACAGCAGCGGTGTAACATGGGCAAAATGCAAAGTGCTTAGAACTGTATGCATCACTGCATGCTGATCTTGTTGTAACTTTCAGGTACTTTTCAAATGCAGGCACCACGTAAAGCATGTTACAATAATTTAATCAAAACATAACTAAGGTGTGAGGGATGGTGAGTAAGCTCTCCCAGTGAAGAAAGGGTACAATTAGTGCACAAGATGAACCAGTGCAAAGGCTCCCCTAGCCACAATGGCCATCTGCTCCTACAGGAAAGTGGGTTTAACTATGAAGAGAAAAATCATGAAGCATATACTGTACATGGATAGATCTTGTCATTCGATATATGTTCCTTGATATAATTATGACTGGACATTCATTTCCAATTGTTAACTTCCTCCAGTTCCTCAGTGACACACTTGGTCACAATCAAAGCATTGATATACACTTTTCCACAACTCTCAGCACTGTCCTTTAGCTGGCAAACATAAAAGTCATACAAAGATAGCTCTGCATGTTTAAAAGCAAATTGAGTTACAATCTTGAAGGTCTGGATTTAAAATCAGCTGAAAATTCTTTTCAGCAAATTATGAGTAGTGTTTAAATTTAAATAGTGTTTCTTTCAAGGTCAACTCACACAGATTATTTAAAATACACTGCACTTTTTAAACCCACAAAATTAATTAAGCAACTTGTTCTCACCATGGCAACTTATTAAATGAGTTGTCAACATTAGAAAATATATTTGCTGATGAAAGTGTGAGTAGGCCAATGTGTGTATTAAATCTAAAATTAGAAGTTTTTGATTGAACTAGTGTTGACATATAATAAATTAATGTACTTCTCCAAGAAATGTCAGGGCTTTTTCCAGGCCAGGTCATAATACTGTATTCTGTAATGGAGTAGTTCTACATTTCCTTTTGTTTTGTAAGGCAATAAAAGGAAAAACCAATTATTCTATTTTAACTAATCCATAATCTAATGTTAATTAGATGTACAAAAGAATAACAAGAGTTTAACATCCAAATTATCAAATTATACATGTTCAAATTACTAATATTTCTGAAAGTCTTATAAAAATAAATTATATGATGTAACCCTAACATTAGTGTATAAGAATTATTGGGAAGCTCATACAATCAGAGCATTAAATTGTTAGTCGGCAACAAGAGAAAATAATAATAAATTTCCCAATCTTATAGGCTCCAAATACACTGAGAGCAAGTCACATAATTCTCCAATATGTTTTGTGAGCAATAGTGATGCATCTGGAGAGTGATAAATTGGGAAAGGTTGCATTAATGTACACAAAGTAACTCAATCTGTGCAATTTAAATATCAACCAATTAAAAAAACAGACTCTACAGGTAGTCTTCGGCTTATAATGATTTTTTTAGTGACCGTTCAAAGTGATGGCACTGAAAAAAAGTCACTTGTGACAAATCCTCACATGACCATCACAGTATCTCATCAGCCGTGTAATCAAAACTTGGGCATTTGGCAACCAGCATGCATTTACTACATTTACAGTGTCCTGGGTTCATGTAATCACCATTTGCGACCTTCCTAGCTGGCTTCTGACAAGAAAAGTCAATGGGAGAGAGTTGACTTTGTTTAACAACCAAGTGATGCACTTAACTGCTGTGATTCGTTAACAACTTGAACAAAAAGTTTGTAAAATCAGGCACAACTCACTTAAGAACTGCCTCACTTGGCCACATAAATTTTCATCCCAATTATGATTGTAAGTCGAGCACTACCTGTATTCAGTCTAAACCAGTAAGAGCTTCATAGTAATAAACTGATTATTACAACCAACTATCCCAAATTCATATATGAGCAATGGAAAAGCTCTGCTAGATCAAGGCACAGACTTAATAATTTGGTATTTTGTGTAATGCAATAGTCAACTATGTATATTCAGAAAGCCAGACAATATTAATCCCCTTCCAGAAGAAGAAGGCTGGCTCTTAACATAAAAAAAAAAAATCCTTACCAATGGTGCTTTCTCTTCTGATTCTAAGCCAAATACATTTCGCCGTTTTACAATCAACACATCCTTAGAGGCGTCGTTGTCATTGTCGTCATCATCATCATCATCATCTCCGAAAAAATTTAGGCTTTCGGGTTTTGATTCATGGACTTTTGCAAATTCTTCTAGCTCAGACGGACTCTGCAATGCTTCTTCATCAGGACTGCTTTTCCCAGAGAAGCCTTCTGTCTCTTTTTGTCCCAACATGCCTGTTCTAGAGAAAATTCTCCTGCATTTCTCCAAGTCCTCATCACTTAAAGAAAACTGTGTGTCCTCAGCCTGCTCAGTCCCCTCTTTCTCAGGCTCCATTGTATGCATTTTCTTCTGGACTTTCTGGAGAAATCGGACACGAGGGGCCACTGCAAGTCCAAGAGAGCTACAAAGTAGAAAAGTATCAAATATCACAACAGGATCTCTGTTCTACTACCGTGTTTCCCCGAAAATAAGCGCCACCCCGAAAAAAAGACCTACCCTGATTTTTGGGGGTGGGCCTGGTATAAGCCCTACTCCAAAAATAAGCCCTAATCAGAACCCCACCCACTCCATCCCACCTGGCTGCCGCAATGGGGCAGGAGGCCGTGTGGCACATTGCGCCGCTGCCCCAACGTGAGGCAGATGGAGGAGGTGGAGCTGCCCCACGCACCCCACACCCATTTCCTTCAGCCCCCCCCAGCCAAGCCATTCCTTGCTCCCTTTCATTTCCCTCCCAAGCCAGACTGCCATGCTACCCTACAGAGGATGGGCTGGGTAGGCCTGGCCCCCCTCTGCCCCACAGATCACCAGCCCCACGAGAAGTTGGAAGGTCTGACTGAACTTTTTTTAGTCACACAAACTCCATTTCAGCAGGAGAGAAATGTGCCAGAGCTGGAAAGCAGGTTAGTGTTGACATTTTTTGCTTTTAGGAGAAGCGACAGGAAATGGGACTGCCATTTCGAGAACGGAAAAGGAGGGCTGGCCGAAGAAGAAGGCGGGGGAGGCTTGTGCCGCCCAGCCATGGCGCAAGCCATGGGAGAGTTGACTGAGGAGAAAGAGGTGGCTGCCACCGGACAGGTGATCTGTGGAGCGGAGTGTGAAGAAAGCCCCTCCAGCGGCGCACAGCAGCAGTGGAGCCTTTCGCCATCACTCCCCCCTGGCTCTGAAACGGCGGAGGGGGACCAGACCTACCCCGCAAATCCTCTGTAGGGTAGCATGGCAGTCCAGCTCAGGAGGGGAGTGAAAGGGAGCAAGGAATGGCCTGGCTGGGAGGGACATGAAGCAAGTGAGGGGCACATGGGGCAGCTCCACCCCCTCCCCACCTGCCTTGTGTTGTTATGGTGGCAGCGGCACAATGTGCCACACGGCCTCCTGCCACGAGCGGCCACAGCAGTGGTCCAGCAGCCATACGGGCTCCTGCTGGATAGGGCATGTGTCACGAAAAATATCAGACACCGCCTGAAATAAGACCTAATGCCTCTTTTGGAGGCAAAAATAATATAAGACCGGGTCTTACTTTTGGGGAAACACGGTATTAAAGGCTACCCATTAAAATTCATCAAAATCTGTTTTGCATGGTGTTATTTTGTAAGACTTCTACTGGCTGGAAGAAATTCTTAACATTTGCATAGGCCAGCAACAACACACAGATTAATGATACAATAGGGGTAGGCGTGATAGCAGGGCTGTGGGTTTTTTACCTTTCTTGTGGGAGGAGGGTCAGAAAGACATTTCTTGGTTTTTTTAAATGTGCTGAGCCTATTTTAGGATTTTTTTTTGTTAGTTTTCATGCGCTTCCTGCCTTTTGCAGAACTTTAAACATAAAATAAAGATTTTTTTTTTAAAAAAAAATTAAATGAAGTCTTTCCTGCCTTAAAGTGAATGAAAATCACATTGCCACGTTTGATCAACAATACATTGAGATTCAGGAAGTTATAGAGGTTGCAGGTTAGGATGTTGGGGGCCGTACATTGACCATTCTTATTTTATAGCAAACCAAGGGTGTTTTTTTCATTGCATGTGGCACTGTTAAGACTCTTTCAGTGCTTATAAACTGGCCCCAGTCTTGATGGTGATGATAATGATGGATTAAGAGAGCTCTTCTACTTTACCACATTCATCAAAATTGTAGTGACTGACCATTTGTATTGGTATTCAATGTACCACATTCATCAAAATTGTAGTGACTGACCATTTGTATTGGTATTCAATGTACAGGCATATTTTTTGGGGTCAACTGTGATTGTAATTCAAGGACTACCTCTCTCTCTCTCTCTCTCTCTCTCTCTCTCTCTCTCTCTCTCTCTCTCTCTTTCTCGTAGCGTGTGTTGCTTTTACGTCCAACAGATGGTGCTGTTTTTTTTTAAAAGCATTTTTTTACCTGTCACAAGTGTGACATCTATATAATAGTAGGTATATAAAAACACGCGCGTATTTGAATGCAACGTTGTGTCAAAATTTCAAAACAATCGGTGAAGAACTTTGGAGATTTAAGATTTTGAACAAACGAACATTTACATTTTTATTTATACAGAAGATTATTAGATTCAATGGCCATTAAAAAGAATCTTCTTCTTTCCTTTACACAAAGGTTTACATAAATAACGACAAATTGTACCACGTTTTAGAACTGCATTTAATATTTTCTTTGGTATGAATGAGATGGAAATCAGTAAAAATTAAAAAAAAATCAAAATTGGGACCTTACAGCTCTCTTTTCAAACTAATTATTGTAGGTCTGTACTCTACTACACTGGCCACACCATATATTTTTGGGGAGAAAAAGATAAAGAGAATACTGTACACAGATGACCAAAGTCAATACTTTTTAGCAAATTAAGCCTCAGAGTGGGGGATCTAGAGTGCCCTGTCTTTAACACATTCCTAATTAAGATGTATGTAAATCAAAAGATTTGTACTCTCAGCATCCCCAAGAAACCAATCCTAGAAAATAATGGTTAAAATAATTTAAAACAGCACATGGTCAATATAAGCACCATACACCTGACAATGAATGAACAATGAATGGCACAAGAACATTTCACTCATAATTAAATTGCCAGGCTTATTAATCTTTGGCGCAAAAAATGCATATGGCTGGCAGAATTCCACAGCAGTTTTCTTTGAAGTGAGCATAAAATAAGGTGACCTTGTCTGACATCTATTATGTTGAAAATTCTTAATAAAGGGATGTGATGCTGATCAAAGGAATATGTAGAAAGCCCAGTGTTCAATTATCTGATATCTCTAAATAGGATTAGGACAGGTGTCTCTCTCAATAAGCCACTGAATATCAGTGCAGATTCAAACCTTCCATCTCTCAGGCCTTAATCAAGTGGGCAACAAATCAGTCTGCCATTTACAACATGGCTCAAACCAATTATTACTACTGACAGAAGTATAATCTGATTTTTTCAGAAAATATAATACTACTATTACATTATCAAGTTTTCAGTTATTCCCAATTCTTCTGAAACAACTTCTACACAATCCTGTGCACTGAAAAGCACTGGGGTTGGGGAGTTTTGGAGTAGAAGGATAATTGATCTGACTCAGCAGAGGAGCTTTTTAATGTTCTCAAATGTCAAACCCATCTGAACAACGAAAGCCACCTAAGGTTTTACATTCCCAGAGGGGGAATCTGTAATACTTCCAGAAAAACCTAATGTTGAGGACTAATGAGATTTCCTTTCTTAGACAAGACACATTAGTTATTGCTATAGTGATTATGTGTGATTGGTGAAACCCAGATTCAAGACTTCATTCATTATTGTACGTGAGTCTGGGCCAGTCTCTCTCTTTCTGTTCCATCTATTTACAAGGCTGCATTTCTGTGGGTAGACTCAGAGGAGGAGATCATCTCATATGTTATACTCTATTATCCCAGAGAAAGGATAGGAAATCTGTCTGTCTGTCTGTCTATCAATCAATCACACTGGGATTCTGGGCAGTGCACAAATAGAATGTTAAAAACATAAAAACTAAATATAAAATTTAAAATATAGACAAAGATAGTTAAAACTGACATCAAATGTTAATTAAAAATAGGGGGAAAGCATAGCAAGGGCTATGAGCTCCAGATGAGATGGGAGAGTGAATATTCTTTAAAGCATTCATTCCATGGCTGTCTTAACTTCCAAGGGTTGTAAAATGACTGGTCATAAAACAGGGAGGATTATGTGTGAGCAAACATCTGGTAGACACACAAGACAGTCAGACATGGCAAATTTGCTGTTGATCCTGGTGTCAATTTTATGATTTTTTTTGAGAGAAGGTTTGTTTTGGGTGTGTGTGCAAGAGAAGTCAGGGTATCAGAGAGGGATCTTAGAAAATAAGAATAAATTAGGAAGGATAAAAGCTGTAAATGAATGAAATTATGTAGTGTGGATCTGTGTCACGTTCAGCTGATCGCAACTGATGGCAAGATAAAAAGCAAATAAATAAATAAAATAATGCAGGAGTATCATCACTGAATGGCAATAGCTCTTAAAGCTTTAGGGAAGGGTTTTCCAAGAAGATACAAGAACCAAATCTAAAACCTTACACATGAACAGAAGGAACTCTCTCCCGTGAAGCAAGGACTAACTAATGAGGACTTCTAAGACACCTTAAAAAAAATTAAAAATTGTTATTGGGTTTTAAAAGGCAGCACAAAATGATTAAGGATTCATTTATTGCTTTTTCTCCTCATTTCCATTAGCTCTATTTGGCTAATCTCCATTTTTAACAAACTGATTTTCATTGCTAATTTTAATCAGTGAGCCAATGTTGATTTGCACAGTTCAAAAGAAATCTGTAAAAAAGGACGTACAGTTTTTATATAGCATCTACAATTAATGGCACTTACAGGGCATATTCAGCAATGGATAACTTTAACACATCAAAGACTTCTTTGTTCTTCATGAGATAGACAGATCGCAGGTAAGAAACAAAACACTAAGAAAAAAAGAAAAAAAACTTGTTCAAAGCACAGAATAAAAGGATTCAACATATTAAAGAATTGTAACAGATGCACAGCTTAAGCTAATTATTTTTAAAAGTACAGTAGCTTATAAACTCCTCTTTGATATTATGACACTCAAAAACAAGATACCCTTTTTCATTATGGTTTCATCATAATTTGCTATTTTCTCTGCCAGTTTCCCACAAGAAAAGTCAAAGGGGGAAGCCAGCAGAAAGTCAAAAGTTGCCATCACAGAATTAATTAACAACCTGTGTTTTCCTTAAGGACAGTAACCAGGAATTGCCAGAACTGCCGTCAATAAGCACTTGGTCATATGATGTTGTGCTTTACAACTGTATTGCTTAATGATGGAAATTCTGATCCCAATCACCATCATTATGAGAGAACTATCTTGTTTTGGTTTTGTTCTGGATAATTTTCGAAGTATAAACCCCGCACATTGTTCAAAAACCAAGTATAATTCACAGCCTTCCTTCTTCAGTATCACTAAGTTCTTATGATTAAACTTTATGCATGAATAGGTTACTATTGTATATGCATTTTTAATAGTTTGGTAGTGCTTATATTAAGTGCATATTCACATTTTTGGTGGCAATTCCATCCAGTGTATACTTTTTTTTAGTGTTCTTCACTTGACTTTCAAAACAACCTTCATTCTTTTTTATTATTTCTTAAAATTGAAGGCATTTTGACTGTCCTTGGAAATCATCTTAAGCTACTAAGAGAAACTATAATACACAATATTTTTGCCCTTAAAAGAAGCATCAGCAACAACAAAAAACAGTAACAGGTTTTGCTTGGGGTTTCATGATTTCCAGGTTGCAATAAAACACTGGAAAATCACTTCTATAAAACTGAGTAACCTGCTGCTATCAGCATGCCCTTTCATTTGGCTGGTAACTCAAGTGTATAATTCTAACCATACTGTTTTATGTTTCCGCAACACTATTCAGTAATTTTTATTTGGAAAACAAAGGAAAAAATATTTGTGTAGATATATTTACTGGCCCACATAGGAAATTCTCATTCATTCTTCTGCTAACAGCAAACCTTAAATGAAGACTTATTATCAATTCATGACATTGTTTAGTATCACCCAAAAGAGTGAACAGAGCCATCTGCAGTACCTCACTGTCTTTTGCATTTTTGTCCATCATAAGCACTTTATTCCAGATGACTACAGTAAAATGTTTTGATGATTCCCACTAGTCATTTTTCATGAGATCTTATGAACATGGTTGTGCAGGTGGCCTCTTGTTCAATCTCTGACAGAATGAAATTCAGAAACTGAAAAGTTATGTATTTCAGCTAAAAGGGCAACTGGAAATCTGTAGCCCTAAATGAGGCATAATTCGCTTAACAACCACCTTCTCTAGCTTTGGAAATTCTAATCTCGATTGTGGTCATAGGTCAAGGACTATCTGTATAGTAATATAATATTATTACTGCTGATTTTAAGTATTCTGTTCAGTAAAAATTATAAACTACATGCTGCATAACCATTAAACAATAAGTAACCTTTATGGTTGATAGGATGGGAAATTTAACACTTTCTGAAACAGGAATACCACAATAATACAGACGTTTAATCTGCTTGCGAAAATTAAAAGTCGCAGTGATATAGCTTGACTGAATTCAAAATTCATTTTATCTATTCCACTGCAATATCTCTTACAGAGCTGCAGCGTTTGATAGGAAAATGCTGGATATATGGTACTTTTAATATCAAAGCACAGCCATTTGGAAGAGGCACTAAATATAACAATATTCACATACGGAACTATATGAAGTGAAAATAATATAGTTTTCTCCTTAGAGTGCTGCAGATGTAATGGATCAACTGTCTTTTAATCAGTTAAAAAATGGGAACAAAATTATAGATTTTCCCCCCTCCTCCTCTTGCAATCCTTTAACCTCCTATTAGTTATGAGAATTTTCACACCAATATTTAGTATAGAGAATCTTTTACCCAAATTCTAATTCCAATTCTAAACTCCAGTTAACTATATTTGCATATAATGTCAGTCTAAAAGCATCTCTTGTTTCTAATATTTAGATAGGAAGCTGACCTGCAAATTTAGGGTTATTTTGGGATGTGAAATCTCCACATCAGGAAGTAATTAGATTGGGCAAGGTTATCCTAAAAGATCCTGGAAACCCAAGAAAATTCTAGGCAGGTGAAGACTGTCAAAAGTTATTTAGCTTCTATTCACACTTTCGGAGAGATACTGCAGTCTTATTCAACAGAAAGGAAGAACAGACTGTAACTTCAGCATCACACAGCAATAAAAGAATAGCTTTAAATATAGCAATAAAACTGGATTTACCGGGCAGACCTATCACTAGATCTGTCAACTACAACAAAAGCCCTTGTCTCATCAATATCCTGAAGTTCCAAAATTGTTCCTCTCTACTCCATTGTATTCGTCTTTTAAAAGGCTGCTTTAGAAGGCATTGACAAAATGGGGAGGAAAGAAGCTTATTGTATTTTTTTTTTCATTCAGTAAGTCTTGTCTATCTCTTTCTGGCAAGGTAATTCTAACTCAGGTACTAAATCAACAATATTTTACTGCCAACTAATACAACTATGCAAGCCTGAAAACAGTTCTCAGAAAGACTCTTCTGAAGAAAGAAGCTGCTCCTCTTATTCAATTACAACAACAACAACAATAAAGTTGGAAGGGATCTTGGAGGTCATCAAGTCCAACCCCCTGTACTCTTTCTAGAAGCCATAAAGTTAGGGCTTCTAATCCAGTGAACAATCTGACTGTTTCAAAGGCAAAATTGCTTTCAAAGATGTTACTATTTTACATGTCCAAAACTCTGTTTGATGTTTCTGTATCTAAACTACCACTGTCACCTCATTTTCCCACTTTGCTATCATTATACCTAAAGGCAGAATTATAGCATCATTAGAGAACAGTGCTGTTGTCACTTTCCCCAATATGATGCCTTTCAAGTGTGGTGAAATCAATTCCACTAGTACTGTCAGGCCATTGGTTATGTTAATGTTACGGGATGTAGAATTGGGAGATGGGAGAACAGTTGTAGACAGCACAGTGGTGAATTAAGTGGCAGCTTAGCCTGTAGAAGAAATGGGGATGTACAAACACCTCAGAAGGGATGCTCCCTAGTTCCTTGGGCTATAAAGGCAATTGGGGGATGAGCACATTTTTCAGACTTGCAAGATATTGTTAATGTAACCTTACAATAAACTTAGAGACAGTACTTCCGGGTATGCTTCTTGGCTGGACTACTTTGAAAGACTGAAAGTGGGATAGATAGTCTAGACTTTGTTTATATTCCATTTTTTTCCTGTTTATGGAACAGCTTACATCAATTAAAATGTAAATTATAAAACTTATTATTTGTATGTGCCAAGCGATCCAATGAAACTAACAGGATCTCTCTACAAAGACAACTAATGTAATCTCAGTACTATATCCTGGGTGAATCCCCAATTAAAATGGATCCCAATCTGCAAGTACAAGGCTACAACTTCTTCAATCACATTCCTAGACATGGAAGATTAAAGACTCCCTTTAATTACAAGGTTCTTTCATATTCATGGGGTGTTTTTTTTTTCAATAAAGCTCATATGACTGCTTCCTTTAAGCAATCGGGAAACATCCATCACTCAAGAAGGCATTAGTCACCTCTTATAATCATAGGATCAGTTTGATTTAGTCAATTTAACTAGCCAGGAAAGATTTAGATCAAGCAAACAGGCTGTGGCCTTCATTTCTGCACATGTCTGTCTCTATCATGAAGATTCTACAAGTTAAAAAGAATCCATATAAATATACTGTACTTCCCTGTTGACTGTCCCAATGTTGGTGTCCAGGTTGAGATGAATTCAACTGGCGTTGTTTGCTACTATTGATGATTTTTTTTCCCTGTAACAAACAGATTATAACCTACCAACATAGTTGCCTCTGTTCGTTATTACTCCAGTATTTGCTTGTAGACTATGCTCCTTTCCATCACACCATTTCCATGACTCATTTCATCAATACTAAGCTATTATTTAATCAGATCAGAAATCTATGGCAGCATCTCTCTTGTTGTTGTTGTTGACAAACAGGGGATGCTATGTTTTCACACCTAGTAATCAGATAATCTCCTTCCAGACAGGTTCCACCTGAAATCTTTGGGTCCTGCAGGTTTTAGCAGCCCTGATCTTGGAAAAGAAACTAGCAAGAGGAAGTGACTTGCAGCACTTCTTCTAAGGAGTGTTGGTATTGTTGCCCAGGCAAATTAGGAAAGCACCAAGTTTGGGAAGGTTGCACTAAGACTGGATAATCCAATTCCATTCAGCCAATGAAATCATTGGATAGTTCGTTGTATGAGCATCACATTTCACATTTCATATTTTACATTGAAATTAGGAAAGTAAAATGGAGCACATGTGCTTGCCTTGAGTTACTAGAAGAAATGTGTGGTTAAAAATGGAGTAATAAATAGATTTTACAAGCAAGGCTATAAATATGTCTTTTTCCAGCTTTGAGAGTTGTCATAAAATTTGGTACATGTTGCAAACCAAGGGAAGTAATTGTAAAGCATCTCAATGAACTGTCCCAAATTAAAAATCCCTAAATTCATTTCAAAAGCACTAAAAATCATCTATAAAGGGGGTCTTGTTTTGGTTTTGATGGCTTCCTTTAAAAATGCAAGTCCTGTGTGATTAAGTTTTCTGGATTGCATAGATGCCTCCCTTTTGTCACAGAATTAATGATAAAAAATATAAAAGATTATAAACTAAAATAAGTAGAGATTACTGCAAGTCACTCTCTCTCAGCCCAACACACTTCACAGGATTGTTGTGAGGAAAACAGGAGTTTTCCTGTTGGATATGTTTGCCAGCTTTAGTTATGAAAATCAAAGGCACGGGTATAGAGTGGGAAGAATCTGGCTTGTTAATAGCACTTGCAAAAGAGATCTTGGAACAGTAGCTGTTTCCATATTGATACAAGTCATTGAATATGTTCAAGTATAGACTACACAGCCATTTGTTTGGAATGCATTAATTTGGATTCCTGAACTAAATAAGGGATTCTGTGGCTAAATTTTCTACATGATTCTACTTCATTTTATTTAGTAAAGTAAGCTTAGTTGAAAAAAGTAATTACACACATGACCAAAACATGGTATAATTTCACACTTTTTCAGGGATATTCAATATTCTATCTTCTACATTCTCAACAATTTTCATTTTTACTCAAATGTATTAATTTAAAGAAAGATTTGAACTTTGTGACATTCTACAACAGAATTATTCGTGAATTGGAAAGTACTGATTCTCAATATCTATGGATATACAGTATATATGGGTATATGTTGCCAAATGCACGTTTTTGCTACACCAAAAACAAATGCAAACATCCAGTAAGTGAACTGTACCATTTTAATATGGAACTTTTTTTGAACTAATAATTACATAGGAGGAAATCAATTTGCTATATGATCCTCACTTGCAACTCAAAGGTGAACCACACAAAAGTCACAGCAGATGGCTGTCCTAGGCTAGTTTTATTTGATCCTGGAAAAGTTAAATGTAATTTGTCCTGGTTAGATGGAGATCAGCAGGAAATTCCAGGATGATAAAGTCAACCAGAAAGTCAAAACAAACAAACAAACAAGGAAAAAGACAGTGGAAAACCTCTTCCAAGAAAACAACATGAACTTGTTCATGCAAATCATGAGGAGCCTAGTCTGACTCAAGGGAAACCTGCTTATATCACAGCATGAGTTTCAGGAGGAAAAAAGGAAAGGTGTTCTGCTCTTTCCTCAAGACCAACCTTTGCTAGGCTAAAAGAACAAGATAGAAGATGATATGAAATGTGCTTCACTTCTGGAGGTTACGATTCATTGGCAATCACAATTAACAGTACCAAGCTACAATGGGGCAACAGATGCCATCAAATAAAGTAGCTCTCTATATTTCTGTAGCCTCAAGTTTTGACATGCTATGCAAAGATGTGAACATTTATTGGTAAAAGGTAGAGTGAGTGGGGAAAAAAAGAAAAAAATTCTGTCCTTTTAATTCTTAAATACTTTCATATGTCTCAGGAAGGGTGTGGTTTTTTTTTAATCATAACATACATTCTCCAAATCTTAACCATTTTTTCTATGCTTCAGAGCTCGAGAAGACCAATTTTCCCTTTATGTAATTTACTACACTTTCTTTTCAATCAGTTCATACATTCTTTTCAGGGAACAAAAATATTTTTTCTTTTAATTTAATGTGAACCCAAGCATAGCAACAAGCCAGGTTTTTAAAGCTAGTAGAGTCTATTATTCAGGGAAATGATGTCCCAGAGGATGAGGGCTACAAGAAAAGGCTCTCCTCTGGGTACCTGCCAGGTGACATTCTCTACCAGAAGAGACCCAGAGCATACCTTTCCTGTTGGATCTTATACAATGGGTAGATACAACTGGAGAGAGACGGTCCCATGCCATGAATGTTATTTAAGCAACATGTGTTAGCAATTGCATTGTTGTTTTACTAATGGTTCATTGCTGAGGTTGAATATCACCCTATTTTTGTTTTTCTTTTAAATGCCTCCCATATTATTGGGAAAACAGATTTATAAAAATTTAAATAAAAGAGCACTAGGGTCAGCAAGACAATTATTGTCTGGCAGACAGCCATCTGCCTCCCTGGCCAGTATGGAAAGAAGCAACTATCTCGTTGTTGCCATGCTGGTAGTTCAATGCTCAGAACTCTCAAGTAGGATGTTTCTGTAAGTCTACAGGACAGTTTCTGTTACTCTCAAAAGAAACTATATATGCTTGAATTATATGAGGGCCTTCTAAGAAAACATCTTGCTTAGAGGGAAAGGGAAAAAAACCAAGTAACCTGGTGAGCTGTTACTCCTGAACATCCATGCTCCTGCTTCCCCAATTATCTCCAAAAGGACTTCTGGAGAATCAACTTGCCCTGAGAAGGCAAGAAACAGATTCTGTTCTTCAAGCCCTGAAGAACAGAAAACAGCAGGAGACCAGAAGAGATGAAAGGAAAGAGACCTCCCGAACAAAGAATGCACACCTTAACAACCTGAAAGGCAGTGGTGGGATTCAGCCGGTTCACACCACTTTGGCAGAACCGGTATCTAATTTTTTGTTGCCCAGGCCCAGAATGGACTTCCGGAAGTGGCATCCACACAGAGAACCGGTTGTTCACATATTTGAATCCCACCACTGCTGAAAGGTATGTATATTTTCATCCATTTGAACCAACTACCATCATCTCATTTGCCTATTATCTTCCCTGTCCAGATCCTTTCCTTGTATGTAGTACCTTTTAGAGCAGTGTTTCTCAACCTTGACAATTTTAAGGCATGTGGACTTCAACTCCCAGAATTCCACAGCCAGCATTGCTGGCTGTGGAATTCTGGGAGTTGAAGTCCACATGCCTTAAAATTGTCAAGGTTGAGAAACACTGTTTTAGAGTATTAAGTCTGAGGGCAGCAATTGCCTAAGAATTATATTGGGGGTTGGATTTTTTTATGGGTTTATGTTTATGTTGTGATTTTTTAATGTTGGGAGCTCCCTGGAGTCCCCTATGTGTGAGCTGGGCCACAATATAAATGTCCTTAACAAATAAATTTAATAAATGAACTGCTGATTAATTTCAATTAATTTCTGATACCTTTTTACTTTAGTCAAAGAACAGGCAGCTGAAAAATAAATATGTCCTTTCAGATCTCCTATAACCCATAAAACCAAAACATCTTATTCAAGATTAATATTTCTTATATACCTAAAAAAAAAAGAGAGATTCTACAATCATGCCAATTACGTATCAGTGGACTAGCCATTGTGCCCTTACCCGTTGTGCACGTTCTTTCAAATCTTGATCTTGAGCCAGTAAGGACTGCAGTTTCTTCTGGACATCTAAAAGTTTCTCAGGATTGATTCTGGAAGAGTGGAGAGTCATAGAGAAAACAGGTAAACCACAGAAATGTTCTCCTATCTTCTCCAAAAGGCCTACAAAGACTTATCTCCTGTTCATAGAAGAAATATTTCTTCATCTGAGGAATATTGTTCTACTGTGAACAATATACAGCTGAAATCATATCAGGCATGCAGACTATTCTCTTAAAATTAATAATGGAAGCAACAAAAAGCTGCAACTCCATCCTTTTACCCAGAAAACAATTTGAACTGAAAGAGAAAATCATTCTTCCAAGATAAAACCACAGAATTAACATTATATATCTTCTTCTACTTATAAAAAGATAAAAGACTGAGCTCCTATGAAGGAAAGAGCTGAATATTTAACAGCAATTTTTCATACTGAGGTTTCTCATCAGAGAATTTTTCTTTTAAGCAGTTAAAAATATTTTCACTAGAATGTTTCTAAACCTGAAAAATCTCAACAGAACTCCAAATTCACAAACATAACTGTGCACACACAAATGGAAAGTGGTTCTCCATCGAAGAATCAGGGGATAAGTCAGTTCAACAACACAACGCCCCACTATAGCCTTATAAATAATATTTGCTTCAACAGAATTTCTAGCTGGCCGTCTATTCCAGGTTAAACCTGCTTTTTGCCATTTCAGTGACCCAAAGCAAGCGTTCACTTGCAAACAAAAAACTGGTTCTAGATGACTTTATAGAATCTGTGCCAAAAACAAACATACTAAATCATTCGAATGCCAACTCTTTATGTGTGCATAGAGCACTAAAAAATATGGAATGAAGATTTCTAAGAACGGGAAGCAGCCACCTTATTTTTTAATAGTACAGGGAGTCCTCGACTTAGGACCACAATTGAGCCCAAAATTTATGCTGCTAAATGAGAAATTTATTAAGTTAGTTTTGCCCCATTTTACATCTTTTCTTTGCCACATTTGTTAAGTGAATCACTGCAGTTGTTAAACTAGTAACACCATTGTTAAGTGAATCTGGCTTTCCCACTGTTTTCCAGAAGGTAGTGATCACGTGATCACGGAACACTGCAACTGTCATAAATGTGAACTAGTTGTCAAGCATCTGAATGTAAATCACATGACCATAAGGCTGCTACAATGGTCATAAGTGTGAAAAATGGTCACAAGTCACTTTTTTCAGTGCTACTGTAATTTTGAATGGTCATCAAACGAACTGTTGTAAGTCGAGGACTACATGGAATTATTTTGAGCAACTGCAGCTTCTTTCTAGTTTCTAGGAGGTCTGACATCCCTTGGACAAAAATCCTTCAGGAACTATGTAAAAAATCTTAACATAAGGATCCAACCATCCAACACCAGCATTTGGGATTATCCACCTTTAAAAAAGTAAAGTTTCAAGCAGATACACCAAAAGGTTTGATTTGTTTGGATTATTATATTTTAAAAATCCAAGACACACAAGCAACTTAGACCAGGGGTCCCCAACCTCCGGTCTGTGGACCGGTACCGGGCCACAGCATGCCAGCAACTGATCCACACAAACAAGCAAAGCCCCATCCACGGGATGCAGACAGCACACAAAACCACGCACCTGCCGGTCCACGGGAAAACCTTTCTCCACGGAACCAGTCCCTGGTGCCCAAAAGGTTGGGGACCTCTGACTTAGATTACAAAGAGAAGAAGTACCTGATTCTTTACTTTTTAACCTCAGAAATGTATTTACTTAAGCAGCTGGAGAATTTAAGCCTCTTGTCTCACCCCTAATTCCTCCCTCGGACCTCACTTTCTTGCATTGTAAATAGTCTCCCCTTATACTCCACTATGTAATTTCCTAAACATTTTCTATCTCACATCCATATTCAAAGTCTAAAACCAAAATCCAGTGCAACCAGCAACTGATCAGCAAGGCCAAGATGGACACATCAAGTTTTATAAAAGCCTTGCATCCAAGCCAGCTCCCCAACCTTGAAAATTCATCTCAAAAAGATGCCATACAATTCCCTTATCGTTCTCTTCTCCCACTTTTAGAATGTGAATACTATATATTTACCCCACTAGCTCTTTTTTATCATTTACAACCTTTGAAAAGAAGATGGCTTTAGCCAGACTTAGGATACAATATTCTTATGTATTCAAACAATCCTGGATTATTAGTTTCACGGCAAAAATAAGCATAGCAAGCCACAGCTCTGTTATTTAAACGGCTTTTGAAAATAATTAAATTCCTTTAAGAAGACAAAAAGGAGCCATTTACAAGAATCTGCAAGCTTCACTGCACTCCCACTTTATCATCCATGATTTAAAGCACTGTAAACAACATTATCAGAAGTGAACAGCTACTTCAGTGCAGCATATGAACTAATTTTTATGCATATTGAGCTACTGGATATTAGGTAGCAAATGGCAATTAGTTTTGTATGCATGAAGGTATAAAGCTGATGTCATTAGAAGTAAAGCAGGAGACTACTGGTGCTATCAACTGAGCTTTGCTTGGAGGAAAAAGGCTAAAATAGCATTAATGCTATAAATTTAACACAGCCCTATTTCAGGAGAGCATTTTAATATAGCAGTATAGGAACTGTGTACTACAGCCACTATTACCAAATGTTCAATTTTTCAACGATTGGAGTATATTTATTTCAAAAAGTATTATATTTCAATAATAGATTTTAAAAGCACATGTGGGTGTTTGGCAGGAGTTAATAGTGGCAGTAGCCATTTTTTTCTCTCCAATTTTATTTCTTTGGCTAATGGTACCCATTTTTAAAAAGAAAAATATATTACTGATGTTAATGTTACACACGCCATATACACCTTCCACACAGCGTCCAAATCATCTCACATTTCATGTAATTTTGCTACTGACAGAGTTCACTGTCTCAGCTCTATCTTTGCTAAACAGAGTAAGTGTTGGCAGATCACATCATTTTGCTTGGAAAAAAGGTAAAATTGCACAGAAAGGTCAGGCTGTATTTACAGACCTCCATTTCTCCAAAAATTTGAAATAATGGAAGAGCGTTTTCTCTATTTGCTTTCCCAGGAAATAAGATGATTTGAAATGTTCATGTTATTTGTAAAAAATAAATGATGGAATGTGTTGCCAATGGATACTCTCATTGTGCTCTGCATCATTTTTAAGTTTAAAAATCTTTTTTACAAAGAAAAAAAACCCGGCCTCACAGGAAAGAAATCGCTTTTGGTTTCAAACGCATAACTAAGTTATATATAAACTGGAAAAGAACTTACTTGATATTGCTGACAGGAACTTTTTTCTGTGACAGCTGCTGAATCATGCCATTTTCTTCTGAAGGAAGCAAAACGAGGAGAGCTTCACCACCTTCTTTGTATCTATGTAACGGGGGGGAAAAGAGCATTTTTTTTTTCTTCAAATCCGAGCTTTCCAGAAAGTAATTACAAGCAGTCCTCAACTTATGGTCATAACTGAGCCCAAAATTTCCACTGCTAAGTGACACAGTCATTAAGTGTGTTTTGCCTCATTTTAGGCCCTTTCCTGCCACAGTTGTTCAGTGAATCACTGCAGTTGTTAAGTTAGTAACCTGGTTGTTAGCGAATCTGGCTTCCCGGTTGACTTTGCTTGTCATAAGGCCGCAAAAGGTGATCAGATGACTGAGACACCGCAACCCATCATAAATACATGCCAGTTTCCAAGCATCCGAATTTTAATCACATGACCATAGGGATGATGCAATGGGCAGTGCTGTTGTAACTTCAAACAGTACTAACAAATGGTTGTAACTCAAGGACCACCTTGTTCCCAGCATTTCTGGGAGGTGCAAATGGGAGCTTCACAGTCAAGCTCTTTTTGCAGAAAAGAATTGAAGGATGGAGGATACCACAAAGCCTGCTGCAATCTCAGCTGACACCATTTTAATTTTGTGTTTGTTTTGTTTTAAAAATTCTGCCTGTTCCTCTACATGTTAAATGAGTAACATCAGTGCATTTTGTTCATTTTCTTCCACCTGAACTCGCCATTACCAAGAATATGCTCTACTGAAGGCCTTCCATTGGTCTGATTTTAAAACATGTATACTAGAAATCAGTTTAGCTCTCAGGAATAACTGGTTCTCCCCTTCAGCCTCCTTGCTGGAGGGGGAAAAAAACAGACCATCTTGCCCAATTCTACCTCTAGTTCCACCTCCAAATCTCCTTAATCCCATTTATGAGATCCCATTTCATAGCCCCTGAGAAAACAAAGGGCATGACAGAAAAAAGATTGCACATTGATGTAAACCAAAGGTGTCCAAACTTGGCAACTTTAAGACTTTGGACTTCAACTCCCAGAATTCATTGCTGGCCAAGGTTGAAAATCCTTGATTTAAACCAACCAAAAAACCAAAAATTGTTCCTGCCAAACAAGTCAGGCTTTTCAGCCAAGAATGAAGATTCCTATTCTGGCTATTAAAAGGATGCAACAATTCAAGACATTGGAATCAAAAATCATGGTAAGTTATATGGTTTGTTTAGCAGAAGCAAAGCAGAGCAATAAACTGCAATGCACCAAGACTCAACGTATTCATAATACCAAGATCCTGGATTATTGCAGGCAGACAGAACATAGTTGAGATGCCTTGTTAAATCTGTGGGTTTTTTCAGAGAAAAAAGAAATGAACAAGATACTAAATCATTCTTTTCCTATCCCTGAGCACCACCAAGGCCTAGGGCAACATTCCTCTTTTCTCTGATCAATGAAATTTGATATTTGGAAATCAATGAACCCTATTGCTGTCACCCAACCATAATAGCATCAATTGTTCTGTTACTCTTGCGAATAGCAAATGCTTGTTAGGTTTTCTTTAGAAAATGTACTAGTCAATGACTATATTTGTGGTATATTCACAAACATATCTACTCAAACTGTAAGCCAAAGAGACAAAGAGCATTTTGTGGCACACAAAATGTAGAGGAACATATATGATTCTCCATTCTCCAAGCAAAGAACAGTACATTTGGAATTTAAGGAATGGATGAAGATCCTCTGCTTCATGCTCAAAATCGCTCAAAAGCTGTGCTTATTATTTTGTAATATGTAAAACATGCATAAATATTATTGTATAATTGTTCAATCCAATAAACGGCAACCGTGTGCTTCCAATAACAACCTCACAAATATTATTACATGAAAATCTAAACTAGGTTGTTTTTAATCTATATAACCCAATGTAGAGGTTATTCTGTAGAGATCCCACCCTAAGAATTAAAGAAATTGTAATGCCCTAAGCAATGTTTCTTAACCTTCACAACTTTAAGATGTGCAAACCTCAATTTCCAGCATGCAGGCTAGAGAATTCTGGGAATTGAACTACACACAGCTTTAAAATTTGTTAATCCCTCAGGCCACAGCTACATTCATTATAGACAGTTTATCCATTAATGTTCTAAAAGACTTAATCAGACTGAGTAGTATCCTTGAATACATCTAACCAATGGTCATGGAATCTTGCTGACTGCCAGATTTCCTTCTTTGTAGTCATGTCTAATCTAAACGCTTTGATTAATAGCCTTATTTAAAGGAAGAATAAGAGAATTCCAAAGAGAATCTTACTTCAGATGACAGTATGACACACCATTATATAGGTAGCTGATTACTGCAAAGCTCATCGGTTACCTACCACATTTTCATTACCAAAATTAGATATTTTTTTTCTTGTAGTGAAAGGATAGTCTGCATCTACTCATTGTTTTGGTAGCCACTAGTCTTTTTTATCAGTGTGAGAAATAATGTATACACTCTTTATCATTCTCTGCTTCTTTTGAGATTCAGAACATACCATTTTTAAAAAATTCTCATGCTATTCACTTCTATACCAACAAATATTTTTGTTGTTGTTATTTAGGCACAATGGCTAACAAACGCTGTTTCATGCTTACCAAGCTAGGCATAATGGCTGAATGCAGCATCCCAATTTAATCTACTTGGAAGAAATCAGACACTAAAACTGAAACACATCATGACTTCATTCTCTAATTGCTTGTGGGTTCAAAATCAGATTTAGCTATGCTAAGCTAAATTTTCTAGTTACATCCCAGCAAATAAAGCTTGCATCAGTTGCAAGCCAGCATGTTTGCTGTCAGGCTGAGTGCAATGTATAAACCGGGCACTGAGACTTAGGTATATGTGTAAAGCATTTAAAGTATGTTGTCATTTGTTGGCAAAAAAACCCCAAAACATGAATGTGACTTTCCAAAAATGAAAACTAACTGCTGTCCTCTAGTGGCACTGTATTTTGTTTTATATCAATTAAAATAAACCTCATGGAGGAAAATTCTGAACCAGATGGCTGCAAATATTTCTGCATGAAGACACTTATAGTTCTACTATTTTGATGTTGTAATATATGTTATCAAATGAGCTTTCCACAAGATAAAGCTTATGATCTCTCTAGCAACACCAATCCTCTTATATCCTTCTTAAAAAGGATCTGAACATAAGATATTGCCTAATTTAACTTCATATTTTACTCCTATTTGATCAAACAAAATTATTTCACAAGAACTGAAGCTAGGAAATTACTTTTTCGCATTTCAATGTGTAGTTCAGGTCAAGTGAAAGCTAAACCAAAGACTTGTCAGAAATTAATTTTATATTTTGTTTGGATTTCTGATACTTTATGTACAGTTCTTCTTAAGCAGAAATAAGCCAACTGGCACTCATGGGTTCCAATGTACCTATTAAAGTTGCCATGGTACCTGCAGGGTTACAAACTCTATTTGGTTTTAACTTTTTTTCTGATTTCTCTTAAAATAATGTATGAGAAATGGACAGGATGGGGGATACTTCTAGAGCTCATAGGGTTTATTAGAAAACAGCAGTGGTAGATGGTGGAGCCTCAGTGCTTCAGCTGAAAATGTATCACCCTCTTGGAGTGATAGAAGGGATGAGCAGAGTACCCCTACTACTTTGCCTTTTAGAATAAATGGCTCTATCATTACCCAGTTTGTGCCCATAATATCTATTTTAAGTGCCATTTTGGAAACAGACAGATTCCCTTCATTATGAGAGACCCATGGCATGCTTTCAAATTTCCCAGTGTGCCCACTGGTCCAAAAATATTGATGTCAACTTTACAAGAAACCTGTCTGCAGCCATTTCCTTCGTTCTAAGTTGCCACAGGATTGGGAGGGGGATGGAGGATTTCTACTAGTCAAAACATTTTACTGTCCCGTGGGAACCAAGGTCATTTCTGTCAGTTAGCTTAAGCATTTAGTTAGAAAGACCGCAAAACTCTTCTATTGGGAAATGTAGCTGATTGCATAGCTCTGGGGTGGGAAGTTCAACTTTGTGATATTGTTGCTTCTGAAGGGAACTTCAGACTTGGTTTCACTTTTGACCGTGCCGATACTACGTAACCAATAAACATGTTTTTGAGGAAATCTCAAGCCTTGGAGTTCTGATTTATTTGGTCTTGTCTATCGGAACCTTGACAATTGGATTTCTTTGAGACAAAACTTTGTTCATGAGCCAAAACATGCTAAACAGTGTTAGAAATCCAGTGGATTCATACTGGATAAACATTAACAATGGCAATGCAGAAAATATTTAAGATAAAATATTAATGAAACCTGAAACTTTTCTTTTAGGTATATGGAAAAAGCCAACTGAAAAACAATTTGGGGTGCTATTCCTACACATGGTGATGGCTGTGAAGATTGTACTTGCCAAACACTGAAAAGAAAAAGGGATGCCGACTGTTCAAGAATGGATTTTGAAATTGACTGAATTAGCAGAGATGGTGAAATTAACTGCTTTGATTAGAGATAATGGACTGGGCAGCTTTATAAGAGACTAGAAACCATTTGTGGACTTTCTACGCGCTAAGTACAACAACAGATGGTTAACAGAGGGATTTGAAGATTAGTACAATGTTTGGCTTAACCTGTTGACTTTTTTTTCTTTTATATATATATATGTATTTGCAAAAGGGGAGGAGAATTTACTGCTTTCTCTTTTTTTTCAGCACCCAGCCAGGGTGGATCCTACATGTTAAATGTTAGATTTATTTGATCACTTTTTCCTCTTTTTTTTGTATACTATTTTTTTCTTTTTTGTTATTGTTAGTGTTCAATGTTTGCTTTTGTTTTGTTTCATTTTGTTTTGTTTTGTATTTTATTTTTTATGATAAAACAATAAATAATATATAAATATATGAAAAAAATCCAGTGGGTTCTTTTACTATTAACTATTTAATTAATTAGTTTAATTAATTAGCTCAGTATTTATTTAATTAGATATAGTTGTATCTGGAGGATAAATTGGTAGGCATCAGCAACCTCTCTAGTCCCTCAGAATATTAATTTTTAAAAAATCAGAACAAGAAACCTGGCAGCCATTATGGAAAATATTCACCCGCCCAGGGGAGGGGGGGGCACCAGTTTAATGTAGGGTCTGGATGTGTACCATATCTAAGCTCCAGAGTTTAGAGAGGACTGAAGGAGAAGCATGTGTATATTTCCCCAGACTTAGAACATTTCTGAAAGTGTTAGATGATGTACTTATTTCTTGCCTCCTTCACTGTTTCCATCTGACTAGTTGCCCAATAAAGCTTCTGCAGCTGCCAGAGATCTGACACTGAGGAAGGGGACTTGGCAGAGGGTAAAGAGATGGAGGATTTGATGACTGAAGAAAGAGGTACTAAGACAGCCTTCTCTCTTGCCTCTCAGCTCCTATACTGGAAAATGCTGTTGAAGACAATCCTGAAATTGGCTAGCTTTAGCCAATAAACAACATTCAGACATGGGGACTGAAGGGAGGAGGCCGGAAGTGCTCCTCATTCCTGTCATTGTGTTCCCAGAGAAAGAAGCTCTAATTGCCACTGAAACCCAGTAACAGGGAGAACTGTCCTCCTTTCCTTTCACTCTGAATTAGACCAAATGAGGTATTGTCAGAGGGTAGGAGAAAGGACATAAACTTTCCAGATGCACATACTGTTTTTCTCTAAATTATAGTGTTTATTTTTGTAGTGCTTTTAGGTAGATAATTTGTACATTTCGAATAGATAGTGCGGCCTTGGTTTAACAAAATTATACACAGAATTCTACCCTGATAATTCCAAATGGAGCTTTTTAGAGTATCTATTTCCCTCCCTGACTCATGCAATGTTTCTCAGTATTTCCACTTCCTGGATTGCTTGTAGCCTAGGAGGGAGATTGGAAAGAAGGGAAAACTACTCTTTCCTGAGAGTCTTGAATTCTGACATATTTGTCAGGGCTATCTTCGTTAACATTCTCTAAAAGCTTCAATCCTTTCCACCAGCTATTTTACTCAGCAAATCTCTGCCTTGAGCCTTCTGGGTCTTCAACTGGAGATTTCTCCTCCACCTGTGCCTTAATACAGATGTGCCACACAAAAACAGCTCCAGGAATGTCCAGATGTTTAAATCAGGGGCTAAGCTACTCAGTCTTTAGTGTCACTCTGTCCAATTCTGGTATGTAGAAAACAAATTTTAACCTTGACCCCATTAGGGCAACTCATCTTGCCACTGATGATTAGGGGGAAAATGAGGAGAAGGATGTTACAGGAATTAAGCTGAGAACCAAAGTTTCCCCAGGACATTGTGGCAAGTAATGTCCACAAGCAACAGTCACCAAGCTTCAAGAGTAGAAAGCCAAAGGCAAAAAGGACATTACACTGTGGGAAAGAGAGGAAAAAGAAGTGGTGGAATTAAATTAAAGTGTGCTTTAATGTTAATAGAAAGCAATCAACTGTTTTAGTGGCCCCAACCTAGTGTGAGATAAAAACATTGATCTTGCCTTCAGGAACATGAGTTTTTAGCTGAATTCAAGCTTAAGCACCTCATCAAGCCATGCCAAGTTGACAATTTGGGAACTACTGCTGAGTTTTTGTTAGTAAGCCTGAGAGAAACCTCCACGATATTATCAAATTGGCCAAACTCTCCTCAAGGCAGTTTAATATTTTTTTGTATTTATTATAGTGCATAATACATTATATAATGCCTTATAAATATGTATAGTGAACTACAGTGGTACCTGAGCGATAACGTAAGTTTTAAAATAATATACTGTAAGGAAAGAGATATAAATCTATAACCTGCCCAAACAGAATTTTTGAGTAGGTGAGAAAACAAAAACAGATATAATGCATCAGAAGATAGACAAGATTTCCCAAGTGAACCTCAATAAGCTCTTCTTGGAAAATACAAAAATAAAAATATGTCAGGGCATATCTGTACCATGCACTGTGCAGAGCCAAAATAATAAAATTTTCATTGCTGTGGACAGAGACCTAAACACCACAAATATCACAGTTTTTATGGAAGGTTTATTTTTTACAAAAATATAAAACAATAAGTAAAAGCTATACTTGAGTATGGGTCGAATCATTCACAACATTTGACATATCTACCCTAGTTTTTTAGGTCTCTGGAGGATCTATATTGTCACCCTACCCTCTCAGAAACACTAGAAGCTTAATAAATAAAATACAAGGTTCTCCATTTCTAATGTATGCTGCTTATAAATCCACTCTAGCCAACCTGATCTCAGCAACATGAACCAAAAATAAGGCTTAACTTATGCTTCTTCCACAACATTTGCAAAAAAACAATGTTAAATGATAATCAAAATTCATATGCAGAACAGATACCAAGAAAATGCACCATTCAGCGTCCAAACATTATTCCAACCTTACTGAAGTTAAGCAAGTATAAACTTGCTTAAAGATCTCAATGGGAAATCAGAGCCTGATATATGAGCAATATATGAATCAAATAAATATTTTACAATATACAGCAAATATATTCCTACCTGCGTCTCATTCACTGCACTCTTAAGTCATATGGACATATCAATTTTTCTGCCATGATTAATATAAACCAGGCTATGAGAGTCCTGAGACTTGGAAATTGAATTGTGTTGGGTTTTCCTACAATTAAATATTTCACTGATAAGCTGTTTCCCTCATAAATTTAACCAAGGAGGAAAAAGAATCCAAACTTCACACTGAAGGAAAGTGTTCATTAGACTAATATTAAAAATATTAATTTACAAGGAATCAGTCACCTGTCATAATGGCTAAATACCAGTGAGAGAGGAGAAGAAATGTGACATTTAAACTACATCTTATTTGTTTATTTATTTATTTAAATCAATCAAATTTATCTGCTCCCATTTTCAGACGACTCTTACTTAAACTTAAAAGTACCAATCACACTTTTCCTTACTTTTTTTTCAGCATTGGTCATCTTTGCTGTTAAACAAACTACATGAATCTAGTCACAAACTAATAACATAATCTAATGCAGTGTTTTTCAAACTTGGCAACTTTTAAGATGTTTGGACTTCAACTCCCAGAATTCCCCAGCCAGCATTTTGAAAAACACCAATCTAATGTAATAACAGGTCTAACCTTAATATTTTTTCAGATCTATGTATAGTTTTACCTTAGCACTGAAAAGCTTTCTTCAATATATTCTAGGTATTGGGACTACAACGTCCACAACTATTAGCTAACTTGGATGGCTATCTCTGGAAGATGGAGTAACACAACCAGAGGACATCAAGTTAGGGAAAGCCACTTTATAGAACATACCTGGCTGTTCTCCCAACTCTGTGAATATATGTATTTGCATCTTCTGGGCAGTCAACCTGAATGACCCAGTTCACAGCAGGGAAGTCTGTAAAAAAAACATTTGAAATCCAGTCACATACAAATATTTTCTATGCTAGCAGCATAATTCCATATGAGTTTTGCACTCCAGCTCTATTTTACTGGCACTGCATTGAAAGAGACTGTTCACAAAGTACAATTAATCACATATTCTAGCTACATATATCTGACAGATAGGACTAAAATTAATAGAAGCTTCATTTTGCTAAATAATGAAAGGGGGCATAATTTTAAATTTGGTATGGAGAGAGAAATCATTTGCATTTTACAAATTGAAAAGTAAAACTGGCCATTTATGATTTTAAACCAGCAGTTTTCAATGCATGCATAGCTCAGAAGTAATTCAATTTGTATTTCGGCTAACTTTTAATACAAATAAATTATCCATACTTGATCTCTAGCTCCAGATATCAAAGGCATTGTACACATCTTATTTGAATGCCAATTATATGCCCCAGCAAGGACCAGTATTTAGAATCTTTACTTGACAAAAAGTATCTATTAGAATCTCAATAACAGGGTGTCTATAAATATATAGCCAGCCACGAGAATTACCAAGTTTATAATTAAAATTATTCAGCTGAGAGCTCATTTCATAGAACAGATTGAGGTCACATGCACAGGAAAGGTGATGCACTTATCTGAATTTTCTTTGTTCCATACTTTGCTATATTTATTGCCTACTTTATTTATTTATTGCCTGCTATATTTATTGCCTATTTTATCCTTCTGTTAATTTTACACTCTGTTGTGTCTTGGTATGGTCAATAAATTAATTAACTATACTTAGATACAAGGTTGGAAAAATCAACAAATACAAATCCTAAACCTATAGAAATGTGGACAGGGTGCTTTCTGAATTAAGGAACACATGGTTCTGTTCTTTCCTAATTCCTCCTCTTGCTTGGCTGACCTCCTGGATTTTCACCTGAATCTTGCTTAGCAGGGAATGAGCTACAGCAGGACTTGAAGCAATGGGGGCATGACCGTGGAGGAAGCAGCAGGAGAGGAGAGGACACAGGCAAAGGACACAGGCAATAAAAGCATAGAGACTAGCATCACAGGTCTGTTGCTGTAGAACATGTTCTCCGCTCAGCCTCAACCAGCTGGACCTTGGTCTCTTCCTTAAATGATTAATTTAACAAATGATTTTCAAGAACAGGGCCAAACCGATTAGATAACTCCCCTGAATGTGGAGGAATGCAAAGCTATTTACCTAGCCCACGAGCTGCAAGATCCGTAGCAAAAAGAACTGCCGATTTCTTGCGCAAAAAATCTTGATATACTTCCATTCTTTTCATCTGTTGTTGTTTGCCATGAAGAGCTAGTATAGGGAGACCCGGACGAAGGCGACAAAATACTCTAAACAAGTACTGAACCTAGAAACCAATAATAATTTCAATGCTAAGTTCCAAGAGCAAGACTAGTTGATATTACACATATATTTCATGGTAGGCCAGCATTACCTAACCGGTCTTGGCTAAGCTAGAAAAGCTAAATAGGATCAGACCCGGTTAACAGTATCATGGAAGAAAAAAACTCAGGGTGGTGGGCTAGATTGGGATGTTAAAAGCTATCCCAAAAGATGATATATAATTGAATGCTTAGGAAGAAGCAGCTTTCTCTAGTCTTTAGTACTATTTTAAAACAGGTGGAAGAGCCACTTTTGCTACCTCAGCTAGCTAGACACAGGGATACAAAGCTTTGCAAATGGAAAAAGCCAGAGATCTGCAAAATGGAAAAATCCAGAGGAAAAGGCATGCTAAGGTTTCATGTCTCCCAAAAGAAAAAACAGAAAAATATCCTTTCCTCCTGGAGTTTTCATATCATTTTTATCATGCAGCAATTTTCACAAAATTACCATGAGAATTAAAAAACCAAACCACAATGCTTCCTAAAAACGAATGCTATGGAAAACCCAGGCGCATGATTAGAATTTACAATTCTGAAATCTCATTAAGTCTCATTTAATTCAGCTAATCTATCTGTTTCTGCCCCTGGACACAGCATCTTGCAAGGTAGTCAATTGCCAGGCCTTTTGTCACCATAATCTTTTCAGTTGTGGACAGATTTATAGCTAGATTTATGGCTACATCCAACAGACTTGCTGTTTTAAATTTCATGATATCTGAAAAAAACGATCTTGCCACAATTTAGATGGAATTATTCCCAAAAAAATAACCTTTTTATAAATAAACCCACCCTTTAATCTAAAGGCATGTCATTTTAAAGCCACGTGCTTACTTAAAGGCACACTCACAAGACATCAAATCAGGAAAAGCATCTTCCTTTCCTCACAATATAATAAAATGCTTGGATGACAATGTTTGCTACGATATGTTTGGTCCATTTATAAACAAAGCATGCATTTCGCTGAATACAATACAAAAATGTCTAAAGCAGTCCAGCTGGAGTACTCGCCTCTACCTGCATGCCAAATTTCTCTTTGCTTGGATACTTAACTGCTAACTTTTATAAAGCTGTTTTGATAAATAACGTAATTAGGTTATAGCCCTGACAGTCTCTCCAGCCTCAGGGATTCAGCAGCCAAACAATTTACATGCTTTCATCAGCTTTGCTTGTTTTACAATATTCTAACTTTCTGATTACAGGTAGTCCTTGACTTACAACCACAATTGAGCCCAAAATTTCTGTTGCTAGTGAGACAATTAAATGAGTTTTGCCCCATTTTACAATCTTTCTTGCCACAGTTGTTAAGTAGAATCACTGCAGTTGTTAAGTTAGTAACATGGTTGTTAAGTGAATCTGGCTTCCCCACTGACTTTGCTTGTCAGAAGGTCACAAAAGGTGATCGCATGACCCCTGGACACTTGCAACTGTCATAAATATGAGTCAGTTGCCAAGCCTCCAAATTTTGATCAATGTGATCGTGGGGATGCTGCAATGTGTGAAACACTCACATAGGTCTCTTTTTTCAGTGCCATTGTTAACTTTGAACGGTCACTAAACAAGCTGTTGTAAGTCGAGGACTACTTGTACTGTAAAATATATTGGTGGGTAATTTATGATGCAGCAGCCTGCCTGACTGTTACCCATTTGATTTTTATGAATTATAACGAACACGGTTCTTTATAAATTGTAGGAGATGGGATTATGTAATACCTCTTTACAGCTTGCAAAAAATACAATACTCTTCTTATTCAGGTGAGTTTTCAGAAAAGAGTACAACATATTGACTTTCTGGTGCAGTTCACAAACAATGTAGTTCTGTTCCAAAGTTGCTGGAGTACTAAAAGTACCAGAGAAGGAGAAATAAACAACAGATAAAAACATCAGAGGGGGGAAAAACAACAAAAAACAAGCAATATATGTTCAAGTAAACATGTGCCTCAAAGCATTATCTAAGTAAAACCGGATGTCCAACATTTTCCAAGCTAGAGGGCATCCTTTGTTTTTGCAGGGCATTTGCAGGAGACCCTATTCTCAAGGGCCAAGGCAAAATATAAATGTCACTTTGTTTAGTTACACTTATCATTTACATGTAATTAAAATTAAATATAGGTCTTCAAATCACTGATGCTAGGTTATTTTAGGAAATGCCTCTCCCCAGTTACATCTACCCATCCCATCGGGTCAAGGAGGAGCATGCTGCAAGTCCTGTCTAGTAAGCAGCTCCATCTAGCAGGAGCCAGATGGTACATCTTTTCCGCTGTGGTTCCTACTCTTTGAAATACCATCTCCCCTTCAGGGTCTACAACAACTCGCCATGGCCAACTCATCGCAGCCAACTCGCCACAAGACAACTCGCCATGGCCAACTCATTGCGGGACAACTCGCCATGGCCAACTCACCACGGCCAATTTGCCATGGAACAACTCACTGCGGGACAACTCACTGCGGGACAACTCACCATGGCCAACTTGCCATGGGACAACTCCCCAGGGACAACTCACTGCGGGACAACACGACACAGGACAAGAACTACACTAATATGAAAGAAATAGTGGAACAGAATCATTAAAGAAAGGATGCCAAAAGGAGGGACAATATGAAATGTGAATGACAAAAATTAAAATATTTTTAAAATTATTTTAAATAATGAAATTGAATTGTTGAATTGTCCTGTGGCGAGTTGGCTGCAGCAAGTTGGCTATGGCGAGCTGTCCCATTCCGCCAGCTCAGGTAAGGTTAGTTCTATCTCTGTTAGCCTTTCAGAAGTCCCTTAAAACATGTTTTTTCATCGACCTTGAAGGTCCAGTGGAGCATGCAAGGTGGTTATATGATGTCAATTTACCGTTTTACCCCCACTATCTTTCTTTTTTTATGTCTGAGCATTTGGTTTTTAATTGTTATTACATTTGTATGCGTGGTGGTGTTTTCTGAGATGGGCAACTGTATAATATATTTTGGAACCAAAAAAAGGGAATAAGTGGCAACTGCTCCTCCCTAATCCAGGCTAAAGTTCAGAGCAAGGAAGTGGGAAGTGAAAAGATAACTTGTTCACCCCAGAAATCAATCCCTTTTACAGGACAAGCCATAAGGACAGCATTCACAGGACCTGAAGAACTTGAAAAAGCTTGCAAGAAAATTTGTTGTAATCCTAAAGTTGTAATCCTTAAAACACACACACAGAACTCTACATTATGTTGTCTGCTATTGCAATTCTTTTTAATTCAACTGCTGGCAGCTATCTAGTAATTGGACATCAAATTGTCTGGTCAACCCCAAACCTTTGAGAAATAAAGACTTAAGAGATAAAATCAAATATTACTTGGGCTGCTTCCAATAGTCGCACTGTTAGTCGGTCTTGTCTCTTTTAAATCAACTATTTTATACATTTACTTTAGCTTGCAGCTCTCCGCCCAAAGTCCAAAAGTTATATATTACAGTGATTTCTTGTATACACGGTTGTTGAAATTAAAAAGCAAGTACTGAAACAAAGATATCCTGGATGTGCCCCCTCCAATTTACTGGCCTGCTTTATTCTAAGCCCAAGACTGGAAACTCCCAGACTACACCATGCAACAAGTAGGTTCCGAATGGAGAAAAACAATTCAATACCAAAAACACTCATATTTCTTTAAAGACCACATAAGCTGAGCTCCAACCTGAACTTTGCTTTTTCATGCACCCAGATGTATTCTGGATCCTTCAAGCTCAACCGAGCAAGGTCCTTCACAGATTTGGTCTGCGTGGCTGAGAAAAGCAGGGTCTGCCGTTTTTTGGGAAGGTTCTCTATAATTGCATTCATGGTATCAGCGAAGCCCATATCCAGAATTCTATCAGCTTCATCAAGGACTAGAATGAGAAAAACAGGTTGGGGGAAATCGGACTTTTTTAAAAAAAAGTTTTAGTAGTTAAATAAAACACTTTGTTTGTTTATTTGTTTGTTTATTCTTTATATTTCTTAACCGCCCATCTCCCTTGGAGAAGGCTCTGACTGGTGTATAATATAATCAATAAAATTAAACATTAAAATCAGAATAATTTAGTATTAAAAGTTTTAAAATTATAAAAACATTATAAAAACTTCAGAAGGTGAAGAATTCCAAAAGGATTAACAATTGTTAATTCAGGCAGCAGTAGGGGGGGTGTTCTCGTGGGGCTGGCCAGCCCCATGGTTGTGGGGGACACTGTGTCTCCCACACAAGGCTACACAGCTAACCCCTTTGTGAAAGGCCGAGAGATCAGGGGCTTTCCTCACCTCTGAGAGCAAGATTTCCACAGTGCAGGGGAAGTGGCAGAAAAGGCCCTCTTCCTGGATCCCGCCAGTTGAATGTTTCACATTATATAGTTGAGAGTTCCCTACATATCATCCAAATGTGCTGAGGTGCTTGTAGACATCTATTAGGCTCTGTCCCACATGCACATAACACCACAGTCTTGTGCATTCAACATTATTGTTGTTCTTAATTTTATGCAACCACCTACACGATTCTTTAAATTTTAAAACATTAAGACATTTAGGAGTCTTGTCCAGGAAGCTTGAACAATTTTAAGAAATATTCTCTGCATGCTGTGAATTGCCCAGAGCAATATACATGGATCAGTTCCATAAGACGTTTAAGGTTAGAAGGCAGTAGGACTCCTATTAAGATTTCAAGCAAAGCTCCGGATTGGAATTCACACTGAACAGATACAGGAACAGAGGCTACCAACTAATATTTTATACTTACTCAGCATTTGAAGATTGGAGGCATGGAAATACGAGGTTTCATCCATGTGTTGTAAAAGACGACCAGGAGTACAAATGAGGATATTCATATTATGGATTTTGGTTGATTCTTGTTTCAAGTCCTGAAAAAGCAGGTTGGTTGGGAATTTAGGATGCATAGTTTTACAAAGAGCATTCACACAGACAAAGCCACTTTGAGCATGGCACACCACCTCGCAGAAAAGATCAGAATTTTCTCCATTTTCAATAACACAGAAATGTACATCTGCATACAAATTATACACACACACACACACACACACACACACACACAATGCTGAAGATGAAATAGCCTCCGGTCTGTGATAATTTCTGTGAGTACAACATCTCAATTTCTCCACAAACCACTGGCAGATCACAAACAAAAATATTTATTTGAGAAAAGAATAACGCTTGTACAGTGATTGTACAGTGGTTTATGAAATCTGAAATGATCCCAGCTCAGTTAATTATTATCTCACCAACCTCAATTACTTACATTAACAGTGGCTAATGGGAGATGTTTAGATACTGCATGTTGCACAAGGTTCCTGCTTTTATTGAATTTTCTATCTACAGATAAGTAATATATCACTGATTGGACAAATTCCTTATTTTAATAATGCATTATAAACAGATTTTGGAGTGTTCTCTTATGTTGTGAGGAAGTGGGATTTTTTCTGCAGTGGCTCTGCTATTTTATTTCATTTATTTGTGTCCCGCCTTTATTATTTTTAAAAATAACTCAAGGCGAGAACATATCCCTTCCTCCTCCTATTTTCCGCACAACAACTCTATGGGGTGAATTGGGCCAGGAGAGAGTAACTGGCCCAAAGTCACGCAATGGCTTTCATATCTAAGGCAGAACTTGAACTCATGGTCTCCTGCTTTCTAAACTGGTGCTTCTAGCCTTTGCTGCCTGAAGTGAGGTCTGCCACCACACTTTCGGCCTTCCAGAAGTGCATCAAAACCTGTCTCTGCCAGCTGGCTTGAGTTCCTGATGTGGGGTGGGAGGGGTTATGTTAGAGATGGTTTGTGGACCAACAGGGAAAGTATCACCTACCAATCTTGCTTTTTGTTATTGTTATCTGAAATGAATCCTGGAACACAACCAACACTTTCCTCAACTTCGCAAAAAGATAAATGGCATGGCATGGCATAGCATAGTAGGATAGACCTAGCAAGACTGACTCCTACCTCAGGGTTAGAGAGAGAGAGTGACAGAGTGACAGAGATAGATAGATGAGAGACAGAGAGACAGAGAGAGAGAGACAGAGTGACAGAGATAGATAGATAGATAGATAGATAGATAGATAGATAGATAGATAGATAGATAGATAGATAGATAGATAGATAGATAGATAGATAGATAGAGTGACAAAGATAGATAGATAGATAGATAGATAGATAGATAGATAGATAGATAGATAGATAGAGAGAGAGAGAGAGAGAGAGAGAGAGAGAGAGAGACAGACAGACAGACAGACAGACAGACAGACAGACAGACAGACAGACAGACAGACAGACAGACTTGGCTCCAATAAATTATTTTTTAAAAGGAGAGCCTACCTTTCCACCAATGATTAGACCTGCAGAAAATTCATGATTCTTCCCCACTTTACGCAGGACTTCAAACGTCTGGTAAGCCAATTCTCTGGTAGGAGATATTATCAAAACGCCCAGTTCATCCATGGCAGTCCACTGCTGGCGGTATAAGATTTCTAGAGCCTGAAGAATTAAAAAGTATTGGTTAGAAATTCTATCAGATGCTCTCCTGGAGTACACTTTTTCATTATTAACCTGCAACCAGTAACAACATTCCCTTCTAAGGCAAACCTTTGAAGCAATAACTCACTTCAAAAATCTCTGCAGTGAAACTCTCCTTTGCAAACAATGGGACTCCTGACTTCTAAAAAGCCCTGCAGCCGCATCACTTTGCTGGAGCAAAGGGGCTTTAGCACATGGACTATGCATCCACAGCTATCTATTTCCAATGAATAGATGTTCAAGACATGCTTCTTGTGCATTAAAACACTCATCAAATAAAATGGCATCGCTCCTGCAGCTTGACAAGGCAGAACATATCATTTGCCCATATCATTTGCCCAATTCAGTCTCTTTAGAAGGAAAATGCACCTGCCTGACAATTACGAAGTTTGCTTGTTTGTGTATCAAATTTATGCGGGCTCACAAAAATCTCACCAATAACTACTCTGGGCAGCATAAAAGAATTAATTAAAAAACTGATTTATGATCACAATTTTGGTCACAAATCATTGCAGTTTACACTGAGTCACCATGTGACCAGACTCTATTTTACGACCGTTTTTGTGGCACGCATTAAGCAAGTCACTGCAGTTAAGCGAATGATGCACTTCTTAAACAAATCACATGAATTCAAATCGCTGTTTGAATAAAGGTTTCTGTTAGAGCAACCTTTCCCAACTCTGTAAATACGCTGAATTGTAACTCCCATAATTCTGTTGCCCATCCTAGCCTGGAACCACAGATCAGAACAATCCACAAGGTCTGAAATAGCCGGATAACTAATTCTTACTTGCCAGAGTCCTCCTTATCGTAGGCCAAGACAATGAATCCTTCAGTGATTCCTAACTCATCCATTAATACAAATAAGATGCATATTAGCTTATATGATGATATATAACAAGTATTTCCCTACTTACAGGTACAATGAAAGCCAAGGTTTTGCCGGATCCTGTCTTGGCAGCTCCCAACACATCTTTACCCTGCAATGCCAAACCTATGGTCTGCTTCTGGATTTCAGTCACCATGCGATACTGAGCTTCCTGTAAGCCTGATGATACACAGGAGACAAAACCTCAGATTCAGCATTCAACAAATAGAACAGAATTTTCAATTTGAGGACTTTTTTATCCTTAAGGATTCCATTCTTACCTTTCAGAGTTTTCCTGGATAGTGGGAAATCAGAAAATCTTGTAATGTCATTTGTATTTATCTGTGTTGGGGGGAAAAATAAAACAGTTCATTAAATTTTAAAATACCTAAAGAACATGCATGCCCAGATTCTGCAAGCTACCATTATTTATATTTAAGTATGCCTTTGCAAAAGTGAGTATTTTATTCACTTTCCTTTCAATTTTGTTCTGTAGCATTAATACAATTTTTCATTGCTTTTGATGACGTTTCAACTGTAATTTTTGTGCCTCTCGTGTGCCACTATGATTAATATTCAATATTGGCATAGCTTAATTAAACAGATTTATAACACACTTGCATGTGTTTTACTCAGAAGCAAATGTCCCAATAGGAGCTATATAGGACTTTTTTCCAAATAAATTTCTAAAAGATTACAGTCATTTCCACATTCTCGCATTGTGAAGTTTTCTATACAGGTAGTCCTCTACTTACAACCATTCATTTAGTGACTGTTCAAAATTATAACAGCACTGAAAAAAAGTGACTTATGGCCAATTTTTCCCACTTACAACTCTTGCAGCAGCCTCATGGTCATGTGATCAAAATTTGGACACTTGTTAATTGATTCACATTTATGACGGTTTCAGTGTCCCAGGGTCATGAGATCACCTTTTGTGACCTTCCTGACAAACAAAGTCAATGGGAAAGCCAGATGAACTTAACAACTGTGTTACTAACTTAACAATTGCAGTGATTCACTTAACAACTGTGGGACATAAAATGGGACAAAACTCACTTAACAACTGTCTCGCTTAGCAACCGAAATTTTGGGCTCAATTATGATTGTAAGTTGAGGACTACCTGTAAAATAGAAGAATTAGTGGAATCTTATATTTCCGCTAGAACTATGAGGCAATTAGAAAACCAGGAACATCATATTTAATGTGTTGTTTTTTTAAAAAAAAATCATATTTTTAGTCCAGACAGCAAGTTCCTATTATTCTATTTGCCATACATTGTCCTCAATATGGTGGTACGGTTAAGACGCTGGCTGGCACTGCCAAGGCTCAGATTCTAGTCTACTCTCAGCCGTAAGAGCTTACTGGATGACTCTGGACCAGTGGTAGGCAACCTTGGCTCTTTTATGACTCATGGACTTCAACTCCCAGAATTCCTGGCTCAGGAATTCTGGGAGTTGAAGTCCACGAGTCATAAAAGAGCCAAGGTTGCCTACCCCTGCTCTGGACTATTCCATCTCTCTCTGTCCAGCCTACCTTACAGGGCTGTTGTAGGGGGAAGCAAAAGGAAAATGTATATATGTGTGCTGCACTGGACTCCTGAATTAAAAGCAGGACATAAATCTAGCAAACAAATAAATAATCAGGCTATGTTCCAACAATGAAGCTATTTTAAAAAAGGCAAAGAGCATCCCAGCAGCTCCTAAATGAAAAGAAGACTTGAAGTGATGCACCGATGATGTTACCTAGTTTGGATAATGAAACATCTGCAGGAAAACAATCAAGGTCAGAGAACACCAAGGACCCCTCATTTCAACCCTGAGCTACAAAGATTCTCCCTCATTGATCTGGTCAGACCAGCAGAAAGAAAAAGAAAAAAGAGAGAAACGTCAACAAGGAGGGGGAGAAAATCACCGACTTCCACATGACTTGGAAAGAGACAAAAATTGATGGCCAAAGGCAACTGGAGAACATTCAAAAAGCAGTGCTGAACTGGCCATCACCTCCACTGATTCTTATTTTTGGACAGATTTTGCTTGCTTGGCTGGAGTAGAAAGACTGAATGAAAAGCAGCCTAGCCTAACCTCTACTGAGAAGAGATAGGCAACTTGTCCTCAGACCATATGCGACTCTTGGACTCGTTTCAAAAACTCCATGCCAAGGACCAACTGGTCCCTCTGATCTCTCAGCAGCATGTTGATTTACAGTTATTTACAGAAAGAGGAACAAGTTGGGTAAGAAAGAGAAGAATGGACATCCCTACCTACTGCTTAGTATCAGCTCCAATAGAGAAGCTCTGGAGGAATAGACTCAGAACAGAAAAATGTTGGTCCCTGTTGCTAAACAGTGATGCTGGAAAATCTAAGTTGAACTTCTGACAGCCCCTGTAATTTTTCTCCCATTTCTAATGCCCTTCTTTTCCCCATTAGGTGCAACCCACTCACTTTAGTCCGGTGTTTCTCAACCTTGACAATTTTAAGGCATGTGGACTTCAACTCCCAGAATTCCACAGCCAGCAATGCTGGCTGTGGAATTCTGGGAGTTGAAGTCCACATGCCTTAAAATTGTCAAGGTTGAGAAACACTGCTTTAGTCAATGTGCAGCTCTCCAAAATGAGACGCAAGAGCAGGACTATACTTATGAACAAGAAAACAGAAGGAACAATGCCATCTCCACATATTTCAACCTATTTTTCCCAAATAAGAATCTAATGTCCATTACTTATTTGCCTAACTGCAGACACAAAAACTGATCACAGGTGGGCTTTTCTTAGAATATGTACTATAATCAAATATATATCCTCACAGCATATTTACCTAATCATTTCTACTTCAGATATAACACACATATAAATTAAGAATCCATGTTATAGGCTTATCAGCTTAATGCTTTTTCTTGTTGACTCAAACTTTCATCACTGGAACACAGCAGAACTCTCAAAATGTCAGTTAGATACAGATTTAATTTTGACAGGAGCTTTAAATAATTTCTGCCTTCAAAGAAAGGCTCTGAAGAAAAAAAAATCTATAAATATTAAACAAATATGAAATTATGTTCCTCTTGTACATAGGTAGGGTAACAGTATTGATGCTTTTGATCACTGGTGTTACCTAGAATTTTAGACTTCATTATTACCTTGTAAATAACGGCAATATCAGCATTTTAGCATGGCATCATGTGTCCTTTTGATGTTCAGGAAACATAAAAGCCATTTTTTTATTTACATGCAAATACTAGCTTATTCATAATCTAAACAATAAGACCATGTTTTGGAGTCCTTGAGTGTTGCAAGTGTTAAAGAAACAAAGCCAGATGGGAAAGGAGAAGAAGCAATAAGAGTGTCTGTCTTTTCTCATGTCTAATCAATGTTTTTTATTGTTGCTTTCTGACACACTAGCATGTATTAAATGTATCATCTGTATCTGAACCCTATATAAAGACTTGAACCCCCCCTCCAGACACACACACACACACACACACACACAGACACACACACACAAACTGTTTACTTTGCCTGAAGTTATGGTTCATACTGTTGGAGAGGGGAGTGAAAAAGCCACTTTGCTAAATTAGTATTATTTTCCCAAATTCAGAGATCAGAGGCTTTCTTTTCAGCTCACACCAACTTGGATGCTTGAGTTTTAAAGGCAACAAGAGAAAACTCCTGAGAATACCATGAGGAGTCAAGAAAATAAACAAGTGAATCATTAAACAAATAACCCAGAGTTCTCATTCAAGGCACAAATGACCAGGCTCAAATTATCCTACTTCGGAAACATTATTCGAAAACTTAGTTCTCTGGAGAAAACGCTAATGCTGGAAGGAAAGAGAAGAAGAGGACAACCAACAGCACAGTAGATGGACTCAGTTACCATGGTGATGAGTGCACAACTGGAAGACCTGAAAAACTAGGTTAAGGCAGATCATCATAGAGAAAAATCTATATGGTCACTAGGAATCAAAAACAACTTGATGGCACATAATCCATCAAACAATAGTTTAACAGACATGACTCCTAGAATGTGAGGGAGACATGATAGACATCTAGCACAAGATCCAGCAAAATCTTACTTCCTATCATGCAAACATAAGAGACAGAGGAAAATCTAGGCACAAAAAGAGGCCGGATATGTTTCCTTGAGCTTTAGAATATTGAGTGAATCCAGCTGACATGATTTATCAATCATGCCGTATGGCTAAATGCCTTTGGTTACTTTGGCTAATGGTGATTAGTTCAATAAACTCTGTTATGGTTATACAATCATTAAGTTGTATCTGACTCTCTACAACCCCATGGACCATAGCACATCAGGCCCCCCTGTCCTCTACTGTCTCCCTGAGTCTGCCCAAATTCATGTTCACTGCGTAGATGACACTATCTAACCATCTCATCTTCTGCCGTCACCTTCTCCTTTTGCCTTCAATCTTTCCCATCATCAGAGTCTTTTGCAATGAGTCTTCTCTTCTCATTAGGTGGCCGAAGTATTTGAGCTTCAGTATCTGTCCTTCCAAAGAACAGTCAGAGTTGATTTCCAGAGTATCCTGCTGGATCAAATCAAAGGAGCATCCTATTTCTTTATCAGAGGCCAATCAGATACCTCTGGGAAATTCATAAGCAGGACAGAATCACCAGTTGGCTCTTCCCATCCATGTGCTATGCCAACTATATTCAGATGCAGAGCTTTTCTGACTAGAAAAACCATCACAAACGCCTTTGCATACATTAGCCTAATCTCCTTTTTAAAATTGTGCCATCACCAAACCTTTGATGCATAGAATTTCACAGTAGCCAGGTCCCTGTTAGATCTTAGTAGGACTCTCTGGTTCTCCTACAGAATAGAACACCTGTTATAAATTGATATCTCACTGTTATGTCAATATTTCAACCAACCATACTATTCCCTTTCCCCCTACCATCTACTGAATCAATCTTCGGTTCTGGTGTCTTCCATAGGCAGCAATTTTATTATACAATTAAACTGAAATGCATAATGCTGGATATATATATAAGATCTACACAAACCAGAAAGCAGCAGCAAAAGCTGACCTACCAACATATGCATACACTGTTGCCCAACTGCTCTTGTTTGGCTCTCTTTCACCAGGAAGAATTAAACTGAGAACCTCGGATTATTGTTTGTCTAGCATTACATCTGAATCTACAACTCTCCAAATAAAGCAGAGGCATTGTTTAAGGCTCTGGCTTATTAACTTGTGCCTTCTAGAACAAGAGGCCACATGTCACATTCCATAAATGGTCATATGCTAATTTAAGGAATAGTTGACAAATCTACAAGCAAAAAACAATGCAAAAAATCTCCCCAACAATCCCAAGGATGTGCTACACATCCAAAACCTGGATGAGGAACCACTGTTTTCATTAGGTCATCTAAAATCCACTATTGGGGGGGGGGGGGAAGAGACGGGGAGGAGGACCACACTTCTCCAGGTAGGAAGCTACATCATTGCAAATCATTTCCATTTAATTTTAAGGCCAATTAAAAGTCCAGGTGGATGCAAGTTCCTTCTGGAACATGTACATTTAGGGAAGGCTATATCATGCCTTTCACTATGTAATATAATACCCCTTAAAAGCAACCTTATGCCACCTTACTGTGTGTCACATGGCATGAACTTTCAGTTCAATTTATTAAAGTTTTAATCTGACATCTGCGTACCTTAAAATAGCATACAGTGAGGGAGATTATTTGATCCCTGATTTGTATGTTTGCCCACGGACAAAGAAATGCTTGGTCTATAATTTTAATGGTAGGTTTATTTTAACAGAGAGAGACAGAATAACAAAAACAAATCCAGAAAAATGCATTTCAAAAAAGTTATAAATTGATTTGCATTTTAATGAGTGAAATAAGTATTTGACCCCTTCGCAAAACATGACTTAGTACTTAGTGGCAAAACCCTTGTTGGCAACCACAGAGGTCAGACGTTGCAGTTGGCCACCGGGTTTGCACACATTTCAGGAGGGATTTTGTCCCACTCCTCTTTGCAGATCCTCTCCAAGTCATTAAGGTTTCAAGGCTGACGCTTGGCAGCTCGAACCTTCAGCTCCCTCCACAGATTTTCTATGGGATTAAGGTTTGGAGATTGGCTAGGCCACTCCAGGATCTTAATGTGCTTCTTCTTGAGCCATTCCTTTATTGCCTTGGCCGTGTGTTTTGAGTCATTTCCATGCTGGAATACCCATCCACGACCCATTTTCAATGGCCTGGCTGAGGGAAGGAGGTTCTCACCCAAAATTAGACAGTTCATGGCCCCGTATATCGTCCCTTTGATGCGATGAAGTTGTCCTGTCCCCTTAGCAGAAGAACACCCCCAAAGCATAATGTTTCCACCTCCATGTTTGATGGTGGGGATGGTGTTCTTGGGGTCATAGGCAGCATTCCTCTTCCTCCAAACACGGTGAATTGAGTTGATGCCAAAGAGCTCGATTTTGGTCTCATCTGACCACAACACTTTCACTCAGTTCTCCTCTGAATCATTCAGATGTCCTTTGGCAAACTTCAGACGGGCCTGTACATGTGCTTTCTTGAGCAGGGTGACCTTGCAGGCGCTGCAGGATTTCTGTCCTTCATGGCGTAGTGTGTTACCAATTGTTTTCTTGGTGCCTGGTCCCAGCTGCCTTGAGATCATTGACAAGATCCTCCCATGTAGTTCTGGGCTGATTCCTCACTGTTCTCATGATCACTGAAACTCCAGGTGAGATCTTGCATGGAGCCCCAGACCAAGGAAATTTGACAGTTATTTTGTGTTTCTTCCATTTGCAAATAATCGCACCAACTGTTGTCACCTTCTCACCAAGCTGCTTGACGATAGTCTTGTAGCCCATTTCAGCCTTGTGTAGGTCTACAATCTTGTCCCTGACATCCTTGGAAAGCTCTTTGGTCTTGGCCATGGTGGAGAGTTTGGAATCTGATTGAGTGCTTCTGTGGACAGGTGTCTTTTATACAGGTAACAAGTTGAGATTAGGAGCACTCCCTTTACAAGAGTGCTCCTAATCTCAGCTCATTACCTGTATAAAAGACACCTGGGAGCCAGAAATCTTGCTGATTGATAGGGGATCACATACTTATTTCACTCATTAAAATGCAAATTAATTTATAACTTTTTTGAAATGCGTTTTTCTGGATTTTTTTGTTATTCTGTCTCATTTTTAAAATAAACCTACCATTAAAATTATAGACTGATCATTTCTTTGTCAGTGGGCAAACGTACAAAATCAGCAGGGGGTCAAATAATTTTTCCCCTCACTGTACATAGTGATCCTTGCTCCTCTTTTTTTCCCCCCACAATGACAGCCTGAAAAGTTTATTATCTGCTGAATCCCTAATCGGTCACTTAAGTGGGCGGGTGGTTTGGAATTCCCTCCTTATTACAGTCATGTGGCTCTCTCCCCACAAAAGGTCATCCAGCTTTTCCCCAACCTGGAATATCCAAATTATTGATATGTGATAATATGTTAGAGAGAGGCACTCTGTATACGTTCTAGGACAGACTTTTTTTTTTAAATAGTTCTAAAATGGATCTGGGACACAAAAGCAATTCAAGGACGAGGCAATCTCTGCCAACCAGGCACAGGCAATGGAGCAAAACGGATCTTGATCTTCGGTTGAGACAAGCGGTCCCCGAGAGACCTAATGCCCCGCATCTCTTCTCACCTCTGTGTAGCGCCTTTCCAAAGCGGCGATTGACTCCCTCTCCACTTCCCACTCCGGTTTCTTTTGTTTGCGCTGTTGCCGCTGCTTGTCTTTGCGTTTGGCGTACCTCTTCTTCCAACGCTCGAAGTTGCGCACCGGGTCGGCGCCCGAACCCGACACGACTCTCCGACTCTCCTCCATCCCTTCTGGGTGGAATTGAGGACCAGAACACGCTGCCAAAGGAAAGAACGCGACGCGAAAGGAACCGGGCGCATAGAGATGACATCACAGGCAAGCTCCTCCCTCCTGCAGGAGGGGTAGTCCGAACTTCCAGCTGGATCGCGCATCACGCATCGCGCAACGGTTGGCTGCGCGCCTTGCCGTTTTATATTAGCAAGCAAGAATAATGTTTGTTTAAGGTTCTTACTATTGGATTGTGTTGCATCCAATATTGTGCACTACAGCCATTAAGATCTGATTGTTGTGCTTGTTATTGTGTTGGATCTGACATATTGTACGCGTTGCATTTAATCGGTGTTTGTCAGACTTTTTGTTTCCTTATCCATCTGTAAACTTTTATCAGAAAGTCCCTTTTATCCATGTAGATAAACACTTTAAGTAATTTAAAAGTCTCTATTGTGACTGGGAAACGGTGTATGTGTGATTATCCAAAGAATTATTTTTTTACCCAAATTTGGATGATTTATTTGGGTAATTTACCCAGGTTTGGGAAGCACTGCATTTGATGATTGTGCACTATAGCTAAGCTAAGCTAAAGCTAAGCTTAACCTAACCTAACCTAACCTTTATTGTCATTTTTTTACTGTGGGCACACAACAAAAATGAAATTTAGTTGCCCACTCTCAAAGTGAACACATACATGACACACACCTAAACATACTATATACAACATATGTATACACCCACACCCCTACATATACATAACAAATAAATATTAAACACTGTCCATCTTAAATATATAACAGAAGGAGGAAGCTTGAGAGTTCACAAGGTTAATGTTGTATGGAATGAAACTATGGCTGAATCTGGATGTTCTGCTTCGGATACCACAGAGCCTCCTCCCAGAAGGTAACAAGGAAAACAGGTCGTGAAAAGGATGTGTAGTGTCCCAGACAATCTTACGGACCTTGCTCAAGCAATGCTTCTGTGCTATGTCCTGGATGGGAGGGAGGGAACTGCCAATGATCTTTTCAGCCAACCTCACCACTCTCTGTACCGCCTTCCTGTCTGAAGCAGTAAGTAGTCTGAAGCTATGCTTCATTGTAGAGTAAATATAAAATACAGATAGTCCTTGACTTACAATTATTCATTTAACAACCAGTCGAAATTATAACAGCACTGAACCTCGCACTTACAACCATTGTACATCCCCATGGCTTGGTAATCAGCATGTATTTATGATGGTTGCTGTGTCCCGGGGTCACATGACCTTCCCAGGCAACTTCCAACAAGCAAAATCTATGCAGGAAGCCAAATTCACTTAACGATTGTGATTTACTTAACTGGACTGATTTGCTGAACAATAGAAAAAAGATTGTAAAGTCAGGCATGACTCATTTAATAACTGCCTTGTTTAGCAACATATATTCTGGTCCCAATTGTGGTTGTAAGTTGAAGACTACCTATATATAATTTGAAGCAGGGCTACCTCCTACAAGTTCTGGGGGCAGAAAAGTCAAGGGCTGGACCTGGATAACATTTGAATGGGAGGCCACCAGAAATAGAACTGAGAAATCAAAAAATCATCACACTGATGTCAAACCACTTCCATATTATTACCAAGAAAAGTTAATGGATATGCCCATCTTATCAGCTGAGTTATCAGCTCTAGGTAACCTTAAACTCTTTATTGTTCACAACCAAAATGAAATATGGAAAGAAATAATATAAAAGTGGCTACAGGCATTCTAACTTCATTTCTTACATGCTTATAACAAAGCACAGTATAAACCTGGAATGAAACAGTAATTGATATCAGTAACAAGAGGAATTATGCAACTATTATGTCATAACCTGTTTTGGAAAAAGGTCATTTCTTGGCTTTAGGAGTCAGTTTCAGCTGAATTCCCAGTGGGTGTCAGCCCCACTATGTAGACCACTACATGAAATCAACTCCACAGGGTATCTATATTTCAATAGGCTATAATATCAGAATCTTGCAAATCTAATTGTGCTGTACCTGTTTGATGAATTAGGGAGACATCTGAGCTGCTGCCACATATTACCTTGCTTCTCTGTACAGTACTTAACAATTACTTTAATCCCGTTTGCCTGGGGCAGTTTTTTTCAACTTCAGCAATTTTAAGATTCTAGCTGATTCTGGGAGTTGAAATCCACGTAAGGTTGCTGAGGTTGAGCAACATTGATCTAGGCCAGGGCTTTTCAACCTTTTCACCCATTTTACCACTTTTAGGATATGGCAATATCCGAGTACCACCAGTCGCCTAGTAAGGTGTCAAAAACTTGATGACCCCCCCCCAAAAAAGAAAAAAGTGATAAAGTACAGCTAGTCCTCGACTTACAACAGTTTGCTTAGTGACTGTTCGAAGTTACAGTGGCACTGAAAAAAGTGCCCCCCAAGCCACAGCCGAGCAAGACACCTGCTTGCCCACCCGGCGGCACTCTTCCTCCTGTCCGAGGTTTTCATTGTTGTGAGCATTTCTGTTGAGGATTGGCAGTGGAGGTGGGATTTATTTATTTATTTATTTATTTTATTTAATTTATATGCCGCCCTTCTCCCGACGGGACTCAGGGCGGCGCACAACATATTTAAAACCAGAACATATATACAATCCCCCCCTTAAAACCGAATTAAACCGAATTTTAATGTTGCGTCTTCCGAATACTTAAAACCCAATATAAAATCCGCCCTAGGTCAGGTCCGCTTGC